TCTATGAAAGAGATGCATTAGTATGCTATAATGATGTGACGCGTAAGAAATTACGTGTACTTGCAAAGAAGTGTTCTAGCATTCGTATCTTGCGCCAATTCTTGTCACGTGACATTAGCACAAGGAATCGGAACTTAAGTGCTAGTGGGAACCCACATCGCTAGTGTGTATGTATATATATATCAGAGTTCTTTTGTAATTCTAGAATCAAGACTTAAGCTGAACTGAGCTTCCAAACTGACCGAAAACGAACTGGTTTCTAGAGTATACCATGAGATGGCCGCACCGTAGCTCAAGCGGTCAGTCGCTGGCTTCCCACCTCGGCGGTCCGGGTTCGATCCCGGGTATGGTCAAGTGGGATTTATGGTGGACAAAGTGGCGCTGGGGCGGGTTTTCTGAGAGTACTTCGGTTTCCCCTGACAATCTTCATTCCACCAATTGCTCCACAATCACACTCACTTATCATCTAGGGCTGATACAATAGGCCAGAATTGGCAACAGTACAAGGGCCTTAGTCCCACCCCACTAGCAATAAAAAAGTCATGAGATTCACTACTGATACCTAATATTGTGAAGTCTATGCCTCATGAGAGTACAATATTCGTTTAATCGTTAATTATATGTTTTTTGTCGTCTCTTGAGCATAATATAACCTTATATTATAATAATCGATCCATTCGATAAATCTGTTCACAGCCGTCCGCAGGCATTCATAGCAATTATGTTGTTCGTTATTCTGTACTGATATAAACCTCTGCCTCTAGAGTTGACGGTGTTCTGGAAGGGTCAGGATGCCTCTAGCTTCTCAAGATGGACTATGCCCTGTGCAGTCAATTGATTCTTACTGAAACGGGATAAGAAGGTCCTGTATGGGCAGCTCATTTACAATTCAACGTCTCCTGGAAAGATACAGAATATATTTCCACGTGTATTAGTGATTCTAGACTGGGTATGGATTGGTAATTAGATTTATTGATCACTTACACGTCATAACTACAAATAATTATTACATTATTGCTGATTTCCACACTACAAATCTCTCAACACTAAGTCTTCTCAGTTTATTTTCACTAGTCTTTACTTGGTAACATCTCTCGACTATGGCTAATCCTCTGCAGTTCCTAGCAATGAAGATTACGTTGTCCTCTAGTTAACACTCCACAGCTGAACCCTCAACTAAACTGACTATAACGTTGATTGTCCTCAAATATCTACTCTGCAGGGACCACACGGAAAACCTGTTTTCTCTCGTTAAGAATATTTGTTTATTGACCCGTTTCCTAGCATTTTATATGTGCGAACCACATAGAAAACACCTCCGTTGTAAAATATGTTTATTTATTGCTCCGTTACCTAGCAATCGATATATTCGAACCACATAGAAAACCCCCCTTGCGACACTGGTTCTATTGTTGCCTGCGCGTACTTCGGGCATTTCCCAGAAATGGGGCTACATGTCACAATTTAATATACAAATACATCTGATCTTCGTAGAGTACGTACAACTATTTGATTCGGTTTGTACAAATACAAGTCCATTTTAAATGCCACTTATTATCCATTCTAGCTAGGATGAGCAGATATTAAGTTACATATAAAGCAGATATATATGTACAAAAGTTACATTACTGCAAAAGGATGCGTAAATACAATATTATTTGATTCGGATTTGCAAAAAATATTATGGGAAACAGTGGCAGGAAAGGATCTGCAACGCTTCTAATAAGAACAATCAAAAGTTACGTTCCGAAATACCGCCATAATTATAAGACAGCATAAATGTTAATACTCCAATATAACCTAACAAAGAAATTCGACTAGGATGCCCAATAGCATCGCTAATGTTTCATATTTACACCGACAAAGTCATCACAGATTGGCTTCCGATGATCAAAAAAATGTTTCATCAGAGAACTTAATTCTAAAAACAGTCGTATTCACGGACTACCGGGTGGCCGTAGAAAGAACGGAAGATTAACAGCAAAAGCAAAGTATGCACTAAACAATATGGCTATAAAATATAATATGACGTATAGACTCACTGCATGTGCTAATGATGAGTAAAGTGTGGAGATCGTCAATAGCGCTGTAATTGCTTTTAGTTCCAAGTGGTGTATGGAAGTGTGTAAATAAATCCAGTCGCCAGTCCATACTTCATATATAATTGTACCCCAAATACGTGACAGTATACTTGCATTCGCCGGTCACTGTAGCCGAGCGGTCTAAATCATGTACTGTCTTCGCTGGATTGGAAACCGGGATAGTGGGTTCGAATCCCACTCATCGCATGGATGTTTAGTTTGTGTGTGTGTGCGTTTATCTGTGTTTGTGTACAGGTAGAGGCCTTGCGACGAGCTGATCACCCGCCCAAGGAGTCCTACCGAATGTGTAAGATCTAGAAAACCGAAGTGAACGGAAATTTCATGGAGGTAGGCCTAGGCCCACTGGGGCTGTAGTGCCAAGGAAAACAAATATAAGGAAGAAGCTGAACATTCTTAATCACAATAATAAAATTCCAGATCCAGGTTATAATATAAATATCACGCTCTAGGAATGGAAGACGGACGAATGCCGGAGAATTTGTTAAGATACAATCCATACAGAAGACGAAATATAGGGCGCCCACAGTAAGGAGGGAGGGACCAAACAAACCACGCATGGCCTGGTCCATGAAGAAGAAGAAGAAGAATATGATTATGACAATTAAACGGGAAATTCATTGTGAGTATACATTCTAGCTTGAGAAATTACTAAAATTTTTAGCTTAATGACGAACTACAAGGATCACTTTCTTATCAGCTGAGTAAAACCATTAAGACCTTCACTGGATGTACTCTTCCGAGATTTGTTCGGTGATGTAGTATCTTTTGTGCAGCCCTTGCCGTGGTGTTGGGATGCGGCAGGCGTTGCCTGTTTGGTCCTGAGAATCTTTCCCACACCTCCAGGTGAACACTACTCAGCTAGGGACTTGCGAACTAATTAACCTCTGATTCTGAAGAGCAGCAGAAAAGTTTGAACTCGAGAGAGATTATTCCAAATGCGTGAGGTTTCCCCACCCGTAGCGCGCACACTGAGGATTATACGATCATTTTAAGTGATAGGGCGTTTGCCAAGAAAAGTGGCAATCAGTTAGTGGCTGAGTAGTTAGGATAAGAAGTAGGAGATGATTTATTGATGGGTTTTGCACTCCCAAGCAGTTCAGCCATGGTGCAGTAGAAGTCTATCTCTGTCTCAGCACCTCCCCTTTACTCCCTTAACAGCTTCATCTCCAAACTTCTACCCATTAACGGCTTAAAATTAAGACCATTTTGTTTCAAATCGGCTACGCTTGCGTTTTCGTGTAGAAGCTGTTAGGATATTGGGATATAAGTGAATTCGAAACTTTGTCATTATCTGTAATGCAGAGAGGTCACCTAATTTCGACCGAACCACGGAAGATTTATGGCAAAGATTATGGTAGAGCATTGTATTCACACTGGCAGAGAATAAAATAATTTTCTCTCGGCTTTCTAATAAGTAATTTATCTGACACAGTATAACTTAGGAGGCTTTTCTTGTATTCCCGCTGAAACAAACGTTCGCAACAATAAGAAGTCCATTGCTAGGCAATGAATAATTTAAATATGTTTCCTTATCAATAGAAGCTGTGTTTTCTGTGTGGTCAGTGCAAAGTGGATATAAAGAAGTATTCACCAGCATGTAGTAATCCAGTTGTTGTTGAGCGTTCCCCCGTTAGAGGCGTCCTACCTGTTACTGCTGCGACCCATACTTTCAGAAGCAAAGTTTTAATTTGAAGAAGCCAGGATACCTTTTCCATAAAGACTGAATAATAATAAGAAAAATAGTGACAGGAACTTAAACTGAGTGTCGATCTGCGATTTCAAGGAAGACATTCACCTCAAGAGTAAATGAAGTAGTGAATTATTTGTTTTTTAAATGTGAAATAAAATTCTTTAGTAACCCCCTTTTTATTAGAAGATGCATACGACCAGTGCTGTAGATTCGGTGGTGTTATTAAGTATAAAAATACGCCTCTGATCTTAACTTATTCAGGAGTCGATGCATGTTAGTAGAATAACTGAATCAACTGTTCAACCTACAAATATAGTTGTTCCATTCAGCCAAATCTGATGGTGTCCACTTATCTTCATGAAAATGGAAAATAACGGCAGAAAACTCAATTTTAAGAGGATCTTAAGCAATTATTACGCATATTAAGACCCTCAAACCAAGAAGATGTTATGGGCGAGGAATGTAGCTAGCATGGGATGCAAAGAGTTTAATATAAAATTTGAGGCAAATAAGTCGCTTAGAATATCTGGCCATAGGCCTACGTGTAGGGTAATATTAAAATTGGTATCAAAGAACTAAGTTGTGAAGGCGGAGCCTTGATTCAGCTGGCTTAAAATAGGGTATACTGGCGGGCTGTGTAAACATTATATTAAAGTTAGGGGTTCCGTAAAAGGAGGGAAATTTGTTGATCAACTGAGTGAAGGACCACTCCATGAAAATGTGTTTAGCTAGTTCATTTTCTGATGTATAATTCATATGCTTCATAGTTGTCCTTGGAGCCGGGATAACTCAGTCGCTATAGCGACTAGCTACGGGCTGGACGACCGAGGGGTCGGATTTCGATTCCCGGTAGGATTAAGCATTTTCTCTTCTCCGCGTCATCCAGACCGACTGTGGGGTCCACCCAACCTCCTATCCAATAGATACGGCTCTTTTCCCCAAGGTTAAAGCAGCAGGGGCATGAAGCTGACCACTCACCTTAAGCTAGTGCCGAGGTCAAGAAACCGTGGATCTATACATCCACTCCTCCATACGCCTTCATGGCGTAGTGCTAAATTTGTCATGTACAAGAACAGATAATGATTTTCTCATCCTTCATTAAAATGCTATCGGTTGCTGGATTCCTTGACGTAAAACAAATTATTCTTGATATCAGATATACACCTAGTATTTCATAACTGTTAAGCCCTTCCATTGTCCTGTTACAGGTGACTTTATCGTTGGATAATACACAAGAATTGTTACTATGCATCGGACTTCAAGTATGCCACAGGTAAGAAAATATAAGTATAATCGTTTTAATTTCCTCGTTCATAATTCGTCACCCAGCAACACTTCTCACATGTGCTACAGCCACTGGTATTCTATGATGCTGGCATCTTGTGCAAGTCTGGACTTCTTTGACTCGCATTAAGTGCTGCCTCTTTATTTGGGCTTCTGAAAGGTAAAGTTGTCTTTGTGCCTAATTACTTAAGCACTATTGCATGGAGACGTAGGTGGGAGTGGGAGCAAAGCTCCACCATTCTTCACCTCGGCAAAACAGTGGTGAGCTTCATGCCCCGGCCGCTTTACTCTCACTAGACAGGAGGCTGGGTGGACACCGGAGATGGCCCAGAAGGGTAGAAAAGCAAAGAACTTGCACTGCCGGGAATCGAAACCGAGCCGTCCTGACCGTAGCCCAACGCCATACAGCAAGAAGTAATTTCATGAAAGTTAAACAGTTCCATTTAGTGTGACTGGTGAAGATTTTTTCTTATTTCAATTATTCATGCCCTTGCATATTTCGGTCTTCAGAGACCATCAATACAGCTGGAAGTTGCTATTACAATATATTGTAGCGTGTTTGTGTGTCACGCCACAAATAAGTACACGCCGTCGTCCCAATATAGCGAGTTTATTCTGTTCGCTCGCATTACACACGTTTTACAATCATCTGCACTTGCAGGCTTACAATAACCGATTACAATAACTGGGCGATGCTGGACTATCTCTTCTGGCGATTATCCCAAGGCTGACTTCCAAGATGGCTCGATCACGTCTTTCTTCTCCGAACACTATTCCGAGACTGACTGGCTTCGTGTCGCAGCTGGGCTATTTATCCTTGGCCGCTACTAGGTAACGAACCCTCTGTTATAGCGGTGGAGACGTTGCATTGTTGGCCCCGCGTTTCCTACGCAATAACCCATTGTTATCGCGTTGTCTCTGTGGGAACCTTCGCGTATTCGTCGTAACCGTGGAGATTCCTGTTAGAACTACAGTAGAGCAATTGTTGTTTATTATGCAACGGTCTATTCTGGCGTTTCCACAGAAGTGTCTCTTCTGGACTCCAGACACGTTACAATATGTTCTGAACGTTCAAATATATACATATAATATTAATAATATATAATTGGAAGAAAAAATGAAGTTTTACAACTACAGCGGTTGTTCCAATACATTAAAGTATTTGTAATTGATTTCTTAAGATTTCATTGGAATTTACAAACGAAGTAGGTTCATGTCGTCCCTCTTATTCGGCCCCCGTCAAGAGAAGTAGTACACACACACGTACACAACTTCTGCTACATTGACGTGAACAGAGGTAATTTAACTTTGTCAGATAAGGTTACCTGAACAGTTGAACACTACAGAATCTAGACCTTTAGATGATATTCTGCCTTATGTAACCCCTGATTTTTTAGTGATAAAAGCATAAAATTCAACTAACAGTTTTATATATATTTTTTTTTTCTGAAATTTACAGGCTGAATGGACAGGGCAATTCGGTCTTACGCGTAATATGTTGAAGGGGCTCTTTAACACAAGCGATAAGATTGTTTGGGTTACTGAACCGAGAATCTTCTCATCATGTTGCATAGCGTGTGCGGTTAGGAGTACTCGCGTGCTTCGTGTTGCTGCCTGACTCCATGGCATTGACCTTACATTTATGCAAATGCCAATCTTGTAACGAAATATTTCAAATACATTTCTTCAACATACTTACGTAACCTGCAATAACCCTGCAACTGTATTTATGTTAAAAGTTTTCGTATTGTTGTAGACGTGGACTCGCATCTGGGAGGTAGTTTTTTCGAATCCCGGCGGGAACAGATTATTCTTACTAAGGTTATCATGGCTTTCCTCAGTACATAGGTGAAAATGTCATGATGGTACCTTGCTTATGCCACGACGGAATCCTTCCGAATCCACTTCATTCATGATCTTCTCACTCGAAGCCATGTAGCCTAACTGCAAACAGCGTCGTGAAATAACCTTAACGTCCAAAACAAAAGTTCCTGAATGTAAATGCAGTTGTAGAATAACTTCTCTGTGAAATATGCGTAGTGTATAACTCTGTGAATTAAATGTAACTCTTTAAAATAACAATCTGTAGTCTTAACTCCTCGGTTCATTATGCCATCACCATTCATGTTTTGTAATATTTAAACTTCACTAAATACTCGTTCCTACGTGCCGAACACAGCGGCCGTGCGGTCTAAATCATGAACAGCCTTCGCTCGCTCGAACACTGGGATCGTGAGTTTGAATCACACAAGGAATGGATGTCTGCGTTCATTCTGTGTTTGTGTTGTCCTATGCAGGTAGCGGCCTTGCGATGGGCTGATCCCCCATCCAAGGAGTCCTACGGACTCTCTTAGGATGAAGCAACTGAAGAGAAACGAAGCGTTTCATGGATGCCTTGTGCTCCAAATAGGAGCAACAGGAAAAAAGAGGAGAGAGAGAGTGAGAGAAAAATACCTAAAATACAGGTTTGGAAATATATGCGCGGCGTGGCGTGTTCACTTGCATTTAGTCAGTTATCTCCAAACTCGTAAAACTTAAGAAGGAAAGTGTACTGGTCACAAAATATAATTTATCCCATTAGCCTCTACAAGTTTTAAACATTCTTAATACGGAGTTAAAAAGAAACACCTATGCTTTCAATCACAGTATAATCTTTTATACCCAATAACTTGGTCAACATTAAAATTCATGGCTGAGTTGTAGTGTGAGGCCTGTAGATAGTATAAATTTGCTATCTACAATGGAATAAGCAAAGGTTACAACGTGCTTGTATTCTCGTGCAAAAAGAAAACACTGAAGTGTTACGATTGTAATTATTTAGTGGGTGTTGTCGCGTGTTTGCTAGGCAACGCGACAAGATCTATCTGAATTTTCGGGATTTTTCTTGGAGCTCTGTACATATACGCGAATAAATGCATCTACTATCAGCATTAATAAATATTGATGCCTGTTCACCATTAGTATATCGATTCCTTATAAATATATTGTGACATGTAGAGCCATTGCTAGGGAACGTCTCGGTAAACAAGCTCGCAACAAGTACCCAACCAACAATAGAGTAGATCAATTTAGAGGCAACGCACGCAACGATAGAACTTGTGTCTCTATGTGGTTTCGCACTTATCCACTGATAGGCAACAAATGTATTTCCTGTAGTCCGACCAGAGGCTATATAGGGTCATTCACGAAGTTTTACCCCCACTTAGGGAGGGCATTCCTGAGGTAATTTAGAACAAAAAATTTTAATATACTAATGGTATCCGACTCATAATTAAAGATATACCTTAATTTGAAAACTGGCGAAAAATATTTTTTTCTTCGATTTTCAGTCAAAACAAATTAGAAATACAATACAAACACTTTTTAAATCGTTAATGTTTTAGGAAAGAAGCATTCTAAAACCATTTTTTTTTAATTTCTTAATTTTGCTTTGTGCAACGTTTTTCATCGATTTTATGTTACAAAATTACATTATTTTCATCATCCCATTCTGTAAACATACCAATGGTTGCATATCACACCGTTCTATCAATCTGTTTCCTTTAAACTGTAGTGCTTTAGAAGACGACTGGATTTACATAAGATTTTCAAAAATGTCTCCCTGCACGTCAACACAATGCGTCGCGCGCGTATAAACCGCTCTGCCTATCTACCTACGCGCAACATTCAAACCGGTCTACCTTATCTGCTGACATAGCTGACTGGGACGTATGGTCGCCCACGCTGAAGCATAGAGCTATTGTTACTCCGTAACTATTGAAAATCGACCACAAGTTTATAAGGAAATTTTGCAGGAAATAACCCCAGGAATATGTACTATAAGCCGGGGTAAAACTTTGTGAATCGCCCTGTATAACAAGAGACCAAAAATAGCTGACAGTTGCTCTAATCTGAGACAGTAAAGTATGGTCGCGTATCCCACGGGACTCGGACCCGAGAATGACTGACCTGGCGAGAGCCAGCAGTAATTGTAAACGACAGACCCGTCCTCTCGTCAGAGCACCCACATCAACAAGCCCGCAACTGTCTAACAGTAATAAAAATCTGGTCATAAGCCCAGGATTGCTACTTTGTTCCAAGACAGACTGGCCCACTGACCGTCAGTTGTGACATAAGACTAAGACTCAGTTGAGATTTCAGTTCAGTTCAGTTGGAAGTCAGAACAGTTCCAGTGCAGTGTCCAGTCGGAAGATGACAGTGTTCCAGATAGTGATTTGTGAAATGCTGCAACAAGTTATATAAAGATCAACTAAATTCAATCATCAAATCCGAAACCCGTCCTATTAGTCACGCAAACCCCTGATACGTGACAGCATGTCGAGTACATTAACTGGATTTTTATTCGGATTTAGTTTAACTGCTGAATTCGAGAAACCATTGCGACAAAACATCTTGAATTACATCACTCTGAATATTGAAAACACCAGACTATATATATATATTCTTCTTATAGGTAACTGCAGACAAATGACATTTATGCGGTATTGCCAAATGTGGTGTAAGATAAGAAAGAAAATAAGGCGTTGAGCAAATGTAAGCCCTGAAGCTGAAACACGTTATACCCAACAGTATAATATGTCGGTCGCAATTAGAAGCAAGTAATTATGAAAAGAGAGTCGGCGGCTTTGCCGCAGAGCTAACCCGGCCCCCTGGCACCCGCTCGGAGACGTTACGTAAAGGATGTAAACCAGACTGAAGGAGACGAATTCCCGTCGAAAAAAAATTAATTTAACTCCACTGTCATATTTCTCAATTTTAATTCGATAATCTGGGAGCATTTATATTTTCTACACACGGTTTGTTGAACTTGTCTGTTACTGGTACAGCTCCAACTTTCATTTCTCGTTACGTCGCTTTGTACATAGATAGTTGGCACTCAGCCAAGCCACAGGAGTGAGAGAATTCTTCGTTACATAAGAATATATGCCAACAAGAAACAGTAAAAAATAATTTCTTCCAGGCAGTCTCTAACACATATCGTCATACATG